TAACAGTACCGACGTGTTCGACACCTGAAAGACCTGTGGGGCGTCGAATGGAACGTGGCGGTGCTTCAGGTACATCTTGGCACTCTGGGTGACCGATGGTCTCGTGTCGTCAGTCCACGATTCGTAGTCGCTGCGGTCAGCGTTAGACCGCTGGCCAAAGTCACCAACGTTCCTCAGCCTTCCTTCCGGCACTTCTACTTTCAGCCATGCGCTCCTTGACACTGAACCAAACATGTTCGATGCCATGCAGGTATATCGCCCCTGATCATCGTTCGTTATCCTTTCGATCTTCAGCGACCCTGAACCGATTATTGAGAACCTCTTGTGCTCCGAAACTGTTACGTTGTCTACAAGAACAAGCACGTCAATTATTAACTGAATACAACTGATACCGACTGCCGCAAACGAAAATTGCACGCACTATTGCACAGGTGATGATTCTGTTGTAGACGAGTTTTCAGCGAAAAATGATCAGAAGAGACGGTCATTATGCAACGGTGAATGAGAGGGAATTCCTAGGAATGGGAATCACAAAATACGGCATCACCGTAGTTATTAGCTTAGGTGATAACGTCTAAACATTGCAAGTTTAAGCCCCCGTGAAGGAGATAAGAGACCACATGCTACAGTAGATAATGTTCGACAGAACAGCAGCAAGGTACTTGTGCAGATTAGCGCCACACAACAAACTATACGAAAAATGAGTGCCAACAAATGGCACTCAGTGAGAGAAATGTAGCGATTGCGAAACAGATACCAGAAAGGCAATAAGCTTTCGTGTCATTCCTTTTCATGTCAGTAACACGAGACTCTAAGTTCAGAAACTTCGTCATTATTTCCGGGAAATTGCAAGGTCCGTGCTTCAAGAAGCGTCAGCACGAATGGCATATTTCAATTTAACGGGTTTCGGGCGCATTCGATATCTCAATATTTACTCGCACTTTGTGCGTTGCATACTTCATTCTTCTTGTCTTATTCAATGTACTCAGGAACAATGAAAGAATCACAGAAGACGCTATCTCAGAAGTAGTAGAAGGCTCTGAAGCAGTACTGGGAGTTTAATCGAATGGAATAATATAGCGCGAAGTTATCAAACAGTACATCTAACTCCATATGTCAACAGTGACCTCCGAGAAAGCAACTGCTGTATCGACCAAACCTACGGTCAGAAACCGCGAAGGTTAGCGAAACGGATAATATCAAATCATGGGCTGGTAGATGAACTACCACAACAAAGCCTGCTATGAAAACGAAAGTCAAACTCACCTTTTAACCAAACTATTTTGTCAGCGTTAGCAGTTTTGCACAAAAATATGGACGACGAATCCGCATAGGCCGTAAAATTTCGAGGGCCTGTCAGTATTTGAGGCAATTTCGTTCCTAAATAGAAAGAATGAGGTAAGCAATCGATTCTTTTCAAAAAATAGCATACATTATAAAAATTATAACAGGACTTTAATTAAGTGTGACTGAAGCTGTGAATCAGGAACTACTTTACTTTAAAACGCGGAAGTTAAACCGATCTGTGACGAACAACAAAGACTTGAGAAGTAGTGTGAAGCCCTCTATCTTCAAGCCCACATGGGTAAGATACCATATCGCTCCCTCAGTGCCATCTTATTTTTTGACACTGACTTCAAGAGTGCGGTCACAGATACCTGCGACAGTGGTGAGGTTTCTTCGAAGGACTACTGGCGTGACGAGAATCGACAAAATCCGGACTACCGCAGTTCAAGACCGAAAGGTCGCAATCACAACTGAACTGCATCCAGTCTCGTTGGCTTCGAAACAGTTCCAGGGTAAATGGCCGAATCCCGTCAGGAATGATTCTACTGACTCATCGATAGACAAACTGGTTGAGCATAAACCATTTACTGAAGCCAGTGAGCATCTCGGAAGGGAGCAGAAACACGGCGGATGCCGCCCAAGAGGCCAGTAAGCAACTTGAAAGAATAAGCCGCAGGGAGAGTTGCCTTCGGAGGGGATTATTTCGCCTCACGATGAAACAAGCGGTCTTATAGCAAGTGTTGAAAACTGCGAATACGGTAGACATCATATGTCAAATAGGTTCTATTTATAGAAACAGCTCAGGGCCATCCAGAAAACAAATACAGCTGTGATCAATGATGTAGATTTGTGAAGAGGAGACAAAAGAGAGGCTTTTAATGAATTTAAACACATGGGTTAGATAGGAAGCTCTATTACATAGAAGACCTAACCATACAGCACCTTCGAATATAACCCATTAAGTTTGTCTGGGTTGGTAAGGAACAAGGA